TTTTTTTGGCCTCTGATTGAAACACATTATTTTTGTTTTAGAGAAGTTGATTGATAGCATATTTTCCTGGCAGTGATTAGAAAAGGATGTAAGTGCTCGCTGTAAACCTACTCTAGTCAGAGATAGAAGAATTGTGTCATCTGCATACATAAGAACAGGCACTTTGTAGTCGGAATTGAGTTTGGGAGCGTGAACATCAATAGTACGCAAATCAGATATAAGAGAGTTTACATAGAAATTAAACAAAAAAGGGGCTAGCGGACAGCCCTGTTTAACACCCCTCCTCGACTGAATAGGTTTAGATAGTCTTCCATCTGAGGTATATTTTATCTGGAGAGTGTTATTGCTGTGGAGTTTTATTATCAAGTGGAGGAGCCTTTTGTCTATGGTGGTAGAATTCAATTTTGACCATAATGTCACACGGTCAATTGAATCAAAAGCTGCCTTCATATCAACAAAGGCGACAAAAAGGGTTCCTTTTTGATGTTGTGTGTATTTATATATTAGATAATCCAGCACCAGACAATGATCAAGGGTTGAACGGCCATGGCTGAAGCCCGCTTGCTCAATATTAAGAATGTGTTCAGTTGCCATCCAAGAACACAATTTGAGACAGAGGTATTGGGAATATAGCTTACAGATAATGTTTAGCAAACTGATAGGTCTATAATTATTCGGGTCAGATCTGTTACCTTTCTTGTGTATTGGAATTATTATGGAGCCAACATGCCCCCTTTTCAGCCGAGAACGCACAGGCGTGATTGACCCAGGCAGAGAAAATAATTACACAAAAAGGGTTTATTTAAAAAAACACTGGGGCAGGGACAAACAAGACAAGGCAAGGTGCTTAAAAAGGGTATAACAGGGTTGAAAGGGCAAAATAAACATAAACTAACGCAGCTACCGGTTCTACTTCCCGGCCCACAGCCTGCCTAGCACTCACGCTGAGCCCAGTGGAGCTCTTCCTCTCCCAGACCAGCCTGTCCCCACAGTGAGAACAGGCCACAGAGAGAGACCAGAAAGAACACTCTGTTTTCCAGTTAATAGCTAAGACCGACTCTCCTCACACAGTTCAACAGTCTCCTTACAGAATCTCCCTCTCTGATTGGCTATAGCCCGTTGCTAAGCCTTATGGGGACTGTAGGCTGTCTGCTCACTGCCATGCAGGTCTCTCCTGGGACCAGGCCGCACTAGGCCCTGCTCCCAGTCCTGCACAGATCATGACAGATGGTCTCTTGCGCACCTGAGTGACGTGTGTCAGAGGATATATCGAGCTTACCCCTTCCTTCTGGGGGTGTTAATGATTTAGTAATCTTGGGTTGTTAATGGCTTAGCAGTCTATAGGCTTATGTGGGCTAGAGGTGTTTATGCAATGAATCCCTCCCTTCCCAAGGATGAAGTACTTTTGTTTCTAAAAAGAGTTTTGACAACAAATCTAATTTAAGCAGGAAGCACAGATAGTTTGGAAGGAACTTACAGAAAAGGAAAAATATACTGGAGGATTGGCATAGAGGTACAAACATAAAACAAACCTATTGGGGGAGGGGATTTAGGGATGCATCAGTCTCTGTCCTTCTTGGAATGAAGTTGTTGAGGCTCACCCCTGCCTGATGTTCCAGAACTGGACAAAGACTAGACAAATGTGCCCATGGCAGGGACCCCCCCAGTTTTGACCAGTGACCACTGAGAGCTTGCTTTCCAATTCTTGCCACAAGCCAGTTCACCAATAATATTCTTACTCATGGATCAGAGGTTTGTTGGCCATGCCCTCATATTTGGTGATGGGCAAATTGTCTCTGGTGCCATACAAGCGAACCCCAGGTTTTCCATTAGCGCAGTGGTTCTCAACCTTCCTAATGCCGCGACCCTTTAATACAGTTCCTCATGTGGTGGTGACCCCCAACCATAAAATTATTTGCATTGCTACTTCATAACTGTGTTTTCCTGGTCTTAGGCGACTCTTGTGAACGGGTCATTCGACCCCCAAAGGGGTCGCGACCCATAGGTTGAGAACTGCTGCATTAGAGGGAAGGTGACAGCTTAGCAGATGCTTCACTGGACGTCTCAAATCAACCATCACACTAAAAGTCACAATCTGCCCCCCACCCCAGTGCAGCTGAGGATCAGATTACCTATTTCAGCAAATAAACTTGTATTATTTGAGCATCAGACTGACCCCCATTCATAACAACGCATACATCTACTTAGCATACATATGCAGATTCTGGGAATGTATTCACTTTGATTCACTTTGAATTTCTTGCAGTGTTCTCTGTCATCCTGCCATGTCAACAGATTTCTCTTCCACATGTGGTTTTGTTGTAGAGTGCTTAATAGACAGCATCTTCATAAGCAGAGCCTATTTTATTCTGTCTAGCTTATTTTATTAAAATCAGATCCTGAAGCCCTTTTATTTGTACATACTTCCTTTAGATTTAGTAATTTGCAGTTATTCTTGTTGGAAGGTAGCAGTAATAGTAACAAAACGTTATTTAAGCTTTTTCTTAAAAATCTTTTTTAGGCTATGTCATATCTTTCACCAGAAGATCTTATGAAAAGAGAAACTGAGGAAACTTTGGAACACTTGCAAGATGCTCTTAATACTTTGAGGAGTTTTAAGGATTCCTTCTTCAGTTACAGAAAAAGAATAGTAACTTACTTCAGTAACAGCCAAGAGTTTAAATCATGGGATTTTCAGCCACAGATGATATTTGCCAGATTTGATATGTTTCTAACCCGCTTAGAGAAAATAGAGGTATTATTTACAAATGTCTATTATGTACCAATATTAGAAAGAAGGCATATATTTCTATAATTTTCCATGTGATACCAGGCATGAAAATGTATTTGATTTACAGCACCATCCTAAGCAGAGTTACACCCTTCTGAGTCCATTGAAGTCAATGGTCTTAGAAGTATGTAACTCTACTTAGGAAGACCCTGTTGGTTTATGCTGGGGTCAGTATGTGCTAAAAAAATATCTTCCAGTTCTTTTTTCACTTTAGCCTAACAGCAGGAAGTAAGCATGCTATGTTTTAACAATGTTTAAAAAAAATAAACTGAGCCAACGCAAGTTAAAACCTAAGACTTCTTTGCTACATCAGATGATGCCCTGATATCCATCACAGGTGGACAAGTGGAGGCAGGCAGTATAGAGGACAAAAAGGGGGAGGGAAGGGAAGGGAAAAAAAGAGGCCAACAGATCTCTCTAACTATTGCTATCTTCAACCATATGCCCGGTGGAACATCTTGGACTTACAGGCCCTGCAGAATGGAACCGAATCTCGCAGGGCCCAAATCCCATTAGATAGAGCTCCACCAGGTTAGAGCCAGGGCTGAAAAGGCTCTGGCCCTGATCAAAGACAACCTGACCATTCTGGGGCCAGGGATCACTAATAAGTTGTTACCGGAAGAGTGTAAGGCTCTCTGAGAGGTGTATAGGGAGAGGCGGTCCCTCAGATATGATGGTCCCAGACCATTTAGGGCTTTAAAGGTGAGAACCAGAACCTTGAACCTGATTTGGTACTCAATCTGGAGCCAGTGCTGTTGGTAGGGCACAGGTTGTATATGTGCTTTCAGGGGGGTCCCAGTAAGGACCCGTGCTGTCACATTCTGGACCAGTTGGAGCTTCTGAAGCACATTCAAGGGCAGCCTTGCACAGAGTGAGTCACAGTAGTCTAGCCTAGAGGTGACTGTTGCATGGATTACTGTGGCCAGGTCTGCACGGGACAGGTGTCAGTTGCTGGGCTTAGAAAAGATAGAAAACGCCACACTGGCCGTATTTGTGACCTGAGCCACTAATAGAAGGGAGGCATCTAGAATCACACCAGACTCTTGATGGAAAGAGTTGGAGCAAGATGTAGACCTGGCATGCATGACCGAGACTTGGGTACAAGATGGGGAGACCATAGCTCTCTCCCAGCTGGCTCCTCCCGGGTTCTTGGTCCTTCACCAATCCTAGACTAGGGGGAGGGGGGAGGAGTGGCTCTGTTCATTCGGGAGGCTTACACCTTCAGGGTGCTCCCGCTGCTGAGGCTCACAGGCATTGAGTGCACTGGCTTTGTGTGGGAAGCCGGGGAAAGTTTGGCCCAACGCACTGTCAAATAGCTTGCCATCCCTGTTGGAGGCTGTATTAGGCTGGGCACTGGAGCACCCTAAACTGATAGTCCTGGGTGATTTTAGTGTCCATGCCAATGACGTGGCTTCCACTTAGGCAGTGGACCTGGTGTCATCCATGGTGGCGCTAGGACTCTCCCAATATGTAATGGCTCCCACCCACCGAACAGGGCACACGCTCGATTTGTTCTTCGTGGTGGGGGTTACAGTGGACTGAATTATTGCTACGGCAGTTCCATGGTTGGACCACTATGCCCTGAGGGCCAGCGTGAATGTCCCACCCCAAACCCGTATGGGCAGCGAGCGCATTTTAGCATGCCCGCGTGCCAAATGGACCCTATGTGGCTTCAGATGGCTCTGTGGGATCCAATGCCCAGCTCAATTATTTAGAACAATTCGGTCCATTACTACTCTGCCTCAGGGCAGACAAAACGCTAAGGAAATGGAGATTGGCTGTGAGGCTTTTACAAGCTATTTTGCAGATAAAGTCCTGTCACTCTGCCGTGACCTTCCCACCACAATTGATAAAGTAGGTGAACTCAAGGCTCCATGCATATCTTCTCAAGTTCTGGATTATTTCAGTCCACGTAGCCTAGAGGAGGTTGCCAAATTACTTTTAACTGTTCTCCCTACCACCTGCAGCCTTGATCCGTGTCCATCATGGCTAATTAAAGCCAACCATGATGGGCTACAAGGTACCCTAAGGGAAATTATCAACAAGTCCCTCTCTGAGGGGCTGTTCCCTGGAGCACTCAAGGAGGCAGTGGTACTCCCTCTCTTAAAAAAAACCCCATCTTTGGTCCCGGCCAAATTGGCTAGCTACTGGCTGGTGTCCAATTTGCCCTATTTGGGCAAATTAATCTAGAGGGTGGTAGCGACTCAGTTACAGGATTTTTTGGATGACACCTCCACATTAGATCCCTTCCAGTCCGGCTTCTAACCAGAGCATGGGACAGAGATGGCACTGGTCGCCCTCACAGACGACCTTCGGAAGCATCTGGATTGAGGCAGTTCGGTGTTGTTGTTGTTGTTGGACCTGTTGGTGTCGTTCGACACATTCGACTACCAACTACTGACCAACCGCCTCGCCGACACTGGGATTCAAGGGTTTGCCTTGCAGTGGCTTACCTTGTTCCTTCAAAAAGGAACCTTGTCCTTGAAAAAGAGCAGTATCTCTCAGAGCTCTCTCAGCCCCACCTACCTCACAGGGTGTCTGTTGTGGGGAGGGGAGGGGAAAGGAGTTTGTAAGCCGCTCTGAGACTCCCTTGGGTAGTGAAGGGTGGGGTATAAATCCAATTTCTTCTTTTTCTTCGTCGGGAACAAAGGGTAGCCATTGGGGAACAACTGTCTCGAAGGTACCTGCTAATTTCAGAGTGCCCCAAGGAGCAATGCCTTCCCTGATGTTATTTAACATCTACATGCACCCCCTTGCCCAGATTGCCTGGAGGCGTAGGCTGGGGTTTCACCAATACATGGACGACACCCATCTCTATCTGTTGTTGGATGGCCAGTCCTACTCTAACCCGGAAGATCTGGACCTGGTGCTGAAAGCTGTGGCTGGTTGGCTTAGACTGGGTTGACTGAAATTGAATCCGACGAAGATGGAGGTCCTGTGCCTGAGTCAGAGTGGCCTGAGGGTAGGGATCCCACTCCCAACCTTCGATGGGGTGCTGTTGGTGCCAGCGCCAGAGGTTAGGCGTTTGGGAGTGCCCCTGGATGCCTCCTTAACGATGGAGGCCCAGGTAGCAGCCACTGCAAAGTCAGCCTTTTATCATGTACGGCTGATCAAGCAGCTGGTTTCTTTCCTTGAATGCAGTGACCCGGCAACAGTGATCCATGCAATGGTCTCCTTGAGACTGGATTACTGTAATGCTTTCTACATGGGGCTGCCCTTGTGTCAGCTGGTGCAGAAAGCGGTGTTTATATATCTATGTCAGCCGCCCTGAGCCTGCCTTGGAAGGGAGGGCAGGATATAAATTAAATAAATACTAGCTGTACTCTGCCAGGAGTGGGAAGCTGAATTCCCCACCCCCCCCCCCCCCCGGCCTAGCCACAGGACCTCCATCTTCAGTGGGTTCAGCTTCAGGTGGCTCTGCTTTAACCATCTCACTACAACTTCCAAACAACTGGCCAGATCTTCTGGGGCGGTATCCAGCTGGCCATCCATCAATAGATACAGCTGGGTGGCATCTGCATTTTGATGATACCCTAGCCTGAATCTCCTGACTGACTGGGCCAGAGGGCGCATATAAATATTGAACAACATTGGGGAGAGAATCCCTGAGGAACTCTGCAAACCTGTGGGTGCCACAATGAGACCCTCTCCCCTTGTGCCACGCTCTGTCCTTGCTCTTGGAGAAATGAACAGCCATTGAAGGACAGTTCCACGTAACCCAGTGGTGATGAGGCAGTGGGTCAACAAGTCATGGTAAACCATGTCAGATGCTGCTGAAAGATACAACAGCAGCAATGTAGACCTGCCTCGATCCAGTTGTTTATGGAGATCATCTGTAAGGGCGGCCAGCACCATCTTCGTCCCATGGCCAGGACAGAAACTGGACTGTAATGAGTCCGAGGCTGATGTATCCTACAGGAAAGCCTGTAGTTGTTCTGCTGCCACCCGTTCAACCACTTTACCCAGTAATGGAATGTTCAAAACTGGGTAGTTGTTGTTTAGATCAGAAAAATCTAGCAATGGTTTTTTCAACAATGGCCTCACCACCGCCTCTTTCATCAGGCTAGAAGAGTAAATGTAAGTGTGTACAGGATTGCAGCCATATAAAATGAAAGCTTAGACTTCTTTCAGTAAAATGAATATAATTATTAATATTTATAATAATGTTACACCAATCCAGTTTCACAATCAAAAGTCACAAAAATGTTGTGGAATGTAACTTATTCTTAACATTGCATGTCATGTTATGAAGTTCTTCCCCAGGGTTTCTTCCTTTGTTCAGTTATTTCAAATTAGAATAGACTTTCCCCGTCTTCATGGAGAATTTTACCTGCCATATGTACTTAAATTTCTCAGAGACCCTGGGAATTGTAGTTCTATGAGGGAGGCCTAAGGTTTTCTAACAATGAATTCTCAGAATGTTATTAAAAAGTTTCAGGATTGTTTTGGGTCACCGCAACAGTTAAAGTGGTATAAAAATAGGTTTGTGGAGTAGATATGTTGTTACTTACTGCAAGAAAATGCAATGAAAGAAAGCATGTATTCTCTTGAACAGAGCAGGAACAAAGAAAATAGCTCTATAGTGCCAATTGTGCTGCCTCTTAAGAATAAGAATGACTTTTTTACAGCACCTTTATAAACAGTTCTGGGGCCAGAGGGAGGGACATTTGCCTTGCAAAAGACTTTTTGTCCTAAGCTTCTGTTTCTAAGAGAACCCACTTCTAGCACTAGGGATTTCCATTATTTATACACCATTTTAATAGTAAATAAAGTGTGTTAATAGCAAGCTTCCAATTGTTCATTAATCTTGCTTTGTACAAAAGGATGGGTCAAGCGTGCTAGAACAGCAAATTATCTAATAGATGCAAGAGTATAAAATATATATAAATTTGTTTTTCATTGTGTGAGAGGACATAGTTAATGGTATTATTTATTGTTTTAGGATATTTTTGTTATCATGCTTCAATTTGAAAAGCTGGAGAAGCTGGAATTTGGTGGTAGCAAGGGGAAAATTTTGAATGGCCAAATATACAGGCTGAATGAAGAATTTATGGAGTCGTGTAAAATTTTTACAGAGAGAACATACAACCCCTTAGACTACAACAATGTGGTAATATTGCAATTCATATAACTATTTTGTTATCCTTGATAAAACTTTCTAGTAGCTATAGTGACAGAAACTAGGAGGTGCAATGTAGAGAAGCTGTTAACAGATTACCTGTCTATCTTTCTTAGTGTAGGTAAAGCCTGAACCAGGTATAGTGTTGTTGTTGTTTTTTTAATTCATGAAAAAGTTGTGAATAAGGAATGACTAAGGAACTGGGAATAAGGAACCAACTTCAGCCTCGTGAAGGACTAGGACTAGAATATGTGCTAGGATTCCATTCCAGGATCAGAAATAAGCCATGGTTTGGATGTAACAAAGCATACGTCATTGCCCCCCCCCCCAGGCAGAATAATGGACAGACAACAGTTTGGAAGTAATAAAGGGCCACTTTATTAACTATTTAAAACAACATTGCGGCAAGGGTCCAGCTAAGCGAGCACGGAACAGGCAAGGCAGGTGTCACTCCCCTGACTAACCTCCTTGCCTTTTCTCGGGTGGGTCACCCAGCTTCAGTCCAGAGCCATCGGCAACTCTCCTCTGGCGGGAGTGGAGCCCGGCAGTTTATCTAAGCCAGCTCCGCCCCCGTCCACGTCACAACGCAAGGCGTCGTGGCTCTGTTGCTGCCCGCCTTCCTCAGGGCGGCAAAACAGCCCCCAGCAACCAGTGGCGTTGCCGGGTCGCCGGGAGCTTCAATCCGGGAAGTGTCTTACTCCTTGCTTGTGCACAAAAGGCAAAAGCCCTGTTAGCCAGAGAACTTCCAATGCTCAGTCTCATGAAAATAGTATGTCAGAAACAGCAATGGTGAGCTACGACAGAATACAACTATTTCACTATTGTGTTAAATTATTTGCTGGAAATGCTTTACATGTTTGTTAATTGCATGATGTTTCCAGCTTGATTAAGTGTGGGTGAAATTGTATGACACTGAAAACTAAATATGAATATTTCATAGAAGGCCCAGCAATAAAGTTAGGAGAGTATTTTATTAATTTGCAATACAATCCAATAATACTCTGTTGGAAAAAAGTTGTGCACAGAAGACACAAGCCCCTTTTACAAATTTGGAAAAAGCATGTGATAATTTTTCCCCGTACTGCTTTTAAGTGTGAGAGCACATATTTGAATGCTTGGTTTGCCCTTTTAAAAAATAGTCTATGTATAAAAGTTCTGCTGTTGGTGCCTTCTTCCAGTGCAAGAAGCCTTCTAGTGGTGGGATACATCGATGGCACTGGAAGATGGTTCCCCATCTTTTGAATAGGATCTTTGAATTATACACATTGTATCTATTTTTGAATAATGAAATAATTGACAATCTAGCTCTGCTTTCAGTGAGTCAGGTGCAAACTTGTGTAATTTAGAACCTATTTATTCCAGAGTAGCTGTAAGAAAATTGGTAGGGCAGTTCTGATGTACAGGGGCTGTAGATTTCAGCTGTAGACTTTTGACTGCAATCCTGCCTTATAGGCACGCTGTTTAAATAAGTAAATGGAATTAAAGAGCCTTACTGTTCTCAGGACTGCTGCTTTAACTACTTAAAGATGACAGTAAAATGTTAATTTTTCTATTCAGCCATAATTATTTCATTGTTTTAAATGAGCATTGTCATTTAAATTACTGTTATGACTAAAAAGTATTTGGTAACTGCTGATTCCTTAAAAAGACATAAGTGTTTAAAATTTACCTTTTATTTGGCAAAGGTCGCATATAATAAACTACACTGAGGCCTCGGCCACACGGACAGGAAAATGCAGGGGGGGGAGGCATGGCTGTTTGCCCTGGAGCAAATTAACGCGCGACTGCTCTATCAGGCGTCGGGTTGAGGTCCCGTCGAGCTCCTGTGGTTAGGGGGGAGGTGCCGATCACACGACGTGGCAAAGAAGCAGAGTGGCGTGGCAAACGGGGTTGTGGGGTTTTTTTAACTGAAATGTGCGCATGCTCCGTTGGGTGCTTGTGCGCATCCGTGGAGACTTGGGGGGGAAAACCCTTTTTGCGAGGGGACATGGGCGGGCGCCAGAACTACCACCGGAAACGCGATCGGACACTGGCCCCTGCCCCGCGGTTTCCAGAAACTAGTACCTCCACGGTACTAGTTTTTTACCCTGCATCTTCGGCGGGAAGCCTCGGGTGCGCCACGGGAACTCTATGCTTCCCAGATGTGGCGGTGAGATCGCGCCCGGAAAATCCGCCTATCTTCCATCTCTCTAGCGTGCCTAATGCTCCGTGTGACCGGGGCCTGAGTTTATCTGAATGGCATCTTTGTGTATGAGTCGTGTATTCTGTTGATTTAAAATATAGCATATTTGAATAGCAGACATGGGCCCTGGTCAGACGTGCCAGAAAATGCGGGGGGGACGCGTGGCTATTTGCGCCGTCGCAGTCTGATGTGCTATTATGTGATCAGACGGGACGGCGCCTTCCCTGCAGCAAAGAGGATGACGGGGGAGGAAGCCGCGCACTGGCGCTATCACACCAGGAGGCTTCCATAGGCGACCCATGGCAAAGCATTTGTCACTACCTTCATTGAGGTAGTTTTTTAATGCATGGTTTTGGTGGCTTGCCACGGGTTCACCACGGGAGTGCTACGTCTCCCAGATGTTCCTGTGTGATCGCGCCCATAGATTTATCAGTACATCTTGCAGTTACAGATAGATAAGTAAGGCTTCTTAAAACGTGTTAGAAAACTAAGGCAATACCACATAAGAAAGTGAGGTGAGGACTAGTGTTGGCAGTGATTCAAGACATTTCTTCTTCAAATACCACTAACTTTCTTAAGCATAATTCAACCACAGTTAAGTACAGCCCTTGCGCATGGGAGTTAGGTAGTGGATAGATTGGTATTACACAACATTTGATGGCACTGGCAAAAGTCTTGACTTTTCATGTTTTATTTGCGGGAGCTGATGGTGTTGTCTTTTAGCTTGACAAGTTATCCAGTTAATAAGATTAATGTTTCTGCCTTTATTTAGTATTTTTCTTCAGTTGTTCTTCAGCTGCCACCTGGTACTAACTGAGGCTTATTTCCAAGTATACATTTATATTTATATTCCATAGGAATTTGATGAAGACTACGACCATTTTAAAAACAAAATTCTGGAATTTGAAAGACGTCTTGGATCAATATTTTGTATGGGATTTCTTGAGTGTTCAGGTTTAGAATCAGCATTTAAGGTCAGTTATATTAACTTATGAACTTCTGCTTCAATCAGTGTCCCTGTTTATCAAGTAAAGTGGGACTTACTGAAAACCAAAATGGATATCTTGGTATATTCGTAGTCATTACTCAAGTCAAAGTTAAAGAAGCATATTTAAGGAACATTGTTGAAATAAATTTTGAGTAGCTTTTGCTCTCATGTGTTAAGTGCTAATACTTCTGTGTTCTAATACTATTTTAGCAGTTTTCTGCATTGAATCTATCTCTGCTGACTGTAATCTTGAGACAGTTTGCTACAAAGGATATCAAAATTAGGGATGTGCAAAAAGAATTGTTTTCTCTAGTTTCAGGTATATTGGACCCGAAAAATATTGTTATTCTCAAATTCCAAATATTAGTATAGTATTCAGATTTATGGGGTTTTTTTCCAGGTTTCCAGATTTTTAGAGTCTATTATTCCTTATGGGGAATGGCTGGGGGAATTGTTTTTGAAGGTTTCTGGGTGCCTGGGGGAGTTGTTTTTAAAGGTACAGGCACCAAAATTGCAGCAGAGCTGCCGCCACCTGTCCTATTTCATTCATAGGAGTATAATTTTGCTCTTGAACATTTCCAATTCATTTCTAAGTGGCTTACAGATTAGAATAGTGGCTGACTTTTAAAATGATTTGTAGTTAAGACGATCAGTATTTTAAACAGAAGTTTAGTTTTAAAGGTCATGCATTTAGATGCATTTAGATGCATTTATGTCTATGAATCGTAATACATCTTTTTTCATGGGGAGAGGGAGGAAGGTGGCAAGGAATAGTCCAGTTCTGTCAGATCTTGGAAGCTAACTAGGGATAGTACTTGGATAGGAGACACCCAAGGAAAAATTTGCAGAGAAAGGCACTGGCAAACCACCTCTGCTTCTCTTGCCTTGAAAGCCCCTTGCTGAGGTTGCCACAAGTTAGTTGCATCTTGATGGCGCCTAAGTCTGTCATGGGAAGAGCTATGAACTCTGTCTCAGATCCAAAAATTCTCTGTACAAAAGAGGTTTGCTCTGCTAGAAGGATGGGAGCTAGTGTTCAAGAAACCCATGCTCAAGGCTCTTTTGAGCATGTGGAAGTAGTCATATTGTTCTGCAGATCTAAGCCTTTATCAACCCATTAACAATAACAACATTTTAAACTTCGTGATATAATTTAGCAGTTCCTGAATGATGCTGGGTATCTTGCATAATTTGGCCCTCATGCACTGACAGCCACTTTGTACTCTTCAAAAACATGTTCTTTTATATAAGTAACCTTTCCTAGTATTGATTTTGTATGTGAGAATTTTTTTAGTGTGCACTCAGCTGAATTTACTAGTACCATGAAAAATATAGTGTTTGAAAACATTTTAATGTCTGAATTTAATACTTGCTTCAGAATGGACAGAGAGTTATGGCTTGTACTTAAAATGCAGCATACAAAAATTTGTTTAAAACAAATGTTTTCTGGTTCCCTTATCATTAACATACGTTATTTAGGAGAAGTATTCATGCACCTTTTATTTCTAATTTTTCAGTACAAGTAGCACATGAATATACCCATTCAAGGGCAATGTCAGCACTGTAGTTTATATTTGCTTATTGGCAGTTATGCTGAGTAATTAATCTTCGTATTGTGTAACTGCAGTGCCCTGTATTTGTTTTAAATTGTGTATTAGTGTTGACATAGTTCTGGATCTGTGTATTCTGTGCTTTTAAAATATGCATCAAAGTAGCTAAATTCTCTAGGAAGAAAAGCCTGATTCTATGATCTGTAAAAATCAGGGGACTTTTCAAATATTTGCATATTTTGAATAATATAACTTCCCCACCATTGCCTGTGAGAAGTGTACTCAGTTTTTCTGACTTATTTGTCCCTGGTACAGTAAGTTAAAAAAAAGAGTGCAATCTAGTTTAGTTTCTGTCACTTTTGCAGTTTACTTTTGTGACATGTAGATTTTACTTCATTCTTGCAGACTGTTTAATTTCCCTTGACGTGTCTCTCTCTCTCTGTACCTATCTTAAAGATGGAAGAAAGAAAACTGTATTAATGTATTAAAAATCAGGAGATCTTACCGCTGTCTTTTATCTGTTTAGCTTTTAGCAATTTTTGGATATTTTCTGGAGAAGCCTGTTATTGCAGATATTTTTAGCCCAAATTACAAAATTTTACTGCAGATGTTTGATGAAGAGCTGTGCAACTGCAAACACTTGTACGATGATCACATTAAGCAAGTAGGTAGTGGCATAAGAACAAAATGTCCCTTGCATTGTTTGCTCATGATTTCTTTATCCATAATAGCTCATTTTTTTAACAACTATAGGTGGAAGAGGGGAATGAAATAGTACATAAAAACATGCCATTTACTTCTGGAAACCTTAAATGGTCCCGAGAAATTAAAGGCCGTGTACAGTCATTTTGGTCAAACTTCTCATTCCTGACTCACCTGTAAGTATTAACTCACTGGATTTGGAAATGAGACAGATATACTTGTCCATAAAACACAATACAACTGCTACATCATTGTTCTGTTTCTTACTTTAAAGGGAGTACTAGTAATTATTTTACAGTTTCCTTCCTCCCATATAAAGCTCTTTTCTGAAATGGCTATGGTAACTACAGAAATACTGTATGTGTTCATCTATGTTATAATTTTTTTTTAAATTAAAACACCTGCAAAGGCCTGTAGTTTTTCTGGAACCTAGTGGTGTTTGTAAAGACAATTATGTTGTAAGAAGTTACATGAAAAAAATCAATGAACAACAAAAAAAGCTTGTATTATCGTCAAATTTGAACTAAAATCCTCTTTTTCTTGTTCATGTGCAGCAAAAGTCAGTTAATTATGAGGCTATGGATTCCCCATGCACAAAGCAATTCTCACGTTACTTAATGAACCTTAGCAGATGCTTGCTCTCTAGTCTTGTTATGCATCACCAGGATAGAAATTTCAGCTTTTCTTTTGAGCTGTGGAAAAGAGAACACAATTCTACAACTGCTCGGTACTTGATTATAGCTGATAGTGTTCAGCCAAATAAAATCATCAAAAGAGCCACTGTTATTAGTATATCTAATTCTCAGTGTTGCTCTGTCTGTGGATCCTTAAAATGAAGATTGGAGCTATGGGCAGATAAGACAGATGTTTCTGCAAACCTGAGAAAAGTCCCGGCTTTGTAGAAAACTCTGAAACCTAAAACAAAACATTGGGGTGTTAATCCTTCCCATGATAGAAGCAGTGCCTGTAGCTTTAAGAAATGAATGCACTCAGTGGTAGTTTCTAGGCAAACAACTGTATTACCAGAATTTCTGTCAGTGAAAGGCAGGGGGAGGCGGCAGGGCCCTTTCCAGGGCTGTTTTTGGACTGTGAGGGAGGACTCAGCAGGGGCAGGCCTAGCAGCTACCAAGTGACTTGTTACCACCTGACTTGCGTGACTCACCCAGGACAACAGCAGTCACCCAGTGATAATCAGTGTGATGTAGTGGTTACAGTGTCAGATTATAATCCAAGAGACCCAGGTTTGAATCCCTACTTTGCCCTGGAAGCTCACTGGAAGACTTTAGGCCAGCCACGCACACTCAGCCTAACCTACCTCACAGGGCTCTTGTGAGAATAAAACAGAGGCAAGGAGAATGATGAAGCTGCTTTGGGGTCTCCATTGTAGAGAATGAAGTAAAAAATAATAAATAGACATGAGGATGGGGGGCAGATAAAGGTGAGTTTTTGATATGTGGAAAGTAGAGAAGGAAGCAAGGAAAGTTGAGGATATGGGAGCTGCCAAGAGGAGGGAAAAATGAAGTGGTGTGGGGAGGGGGAGAGTGAAGTGTCTGATGGAAATCTTACAGGTTCTCTTTTGTAAAACTTGGCATGGTCTGGCCCGGCAACCATGTAATTTAGCCAGAGTTTTCTCCAGGAGAGGTTGCCAGGGGAGGGAATGAGGAGAAGCTGAAGATGGGGGAGGGCAGATAAAAGTTGGTTGGTGTTGGGTGGGTGGGAGCAAAGCTATCAGGACAAGGGGAGAGTCAGGGGGCTTTCAGCAGGGACGGGAAAGAGGAAACAGTAGGGAAGGGCAAAATGACATGCCGTCTCAAGTCCTAGCAGATCCCCTGCTAGTATATATTTCAGTCTTCCTTTATGCTGTTTGAAGTTGCATGTTAAAACTGATAAAATAATAAATATTTATAGGTGTCCACATTTCAACTATATGAGGAGAAACTACATTTTGCAGTTTTACTACTTTGTCAGTGATTCTTTTAACTGCCTATCACTCCTGTTAGAGGGAAGATAATAACTGTGTTTGGGTTTCAGCTTGGAGAAAGCCATTCAGTACCTACCATTTGCTAGAAAAAGTAGGAACACTCACACTTAATGCATAACAAAAGGAGGTTGTGACATCATCAGCCAGTGGACCAATCCCTCTCATTGCTTAATTTGTATGTCCAAAATTCTGAACACTAACTGCAGATGCTGTAGATTTAACAGGAATAGGAGCAGTTACAGTTTTCATCAGGAAGTTTCAAAAGAGTCTAGGACACCTGCAAGGGAGAAGGTAACAAACCTACAGGAAGTCAGAACCAGGCAAAAGACTGAAATGTGAGACAAAGTCACTTGAGATGAAAGGTTGTGGCTGCCCCCAATCAGCCAGCTACATTCAGTACATACTTCTAACACTGGGAGGGAGCTCACTATCAGAGCCACAAAGACTAAATGAAGAGGGGAAGGAGACAGAGGTCTGAAGGCTAGATGAGACAATGGACAGAGACAGCAATCCATACAGAGGGGTAAAGGAGCCAGGCAAAATAAAAGTGAACCAAAGCCTAATGGGAAAAGAGTTAGAGCTGGACTCAACCACACACTCAGCTAGCTATAGTGCACTTGAAGCAGCCAACCAACATTAGACTTAATAATGACATCACCTAGAAATAGGCCAGTATTTTAGTTTTAAACCCTATTTTGTTCCCTGATTTGTAGTAAACTCTACAGTTGAAGTATTGCTAATACCAAAGAAACCTAGGCTGTCGATGCTTCACAAAAAGAGTCTTTTCCATATTTGGCCACATTTCTGTAACTATTCCAGTCATTTATAATCTTACTAGTATAAAATTTCTTTGTTTCTAGAATCCTGGAAAGCTCAGAAAGTGCATTAATCTATCAAAAATATATAGAGATGCTGACCTTGCTTGACCAGTATGAAGAGGATATCTATTGTAAATGGAAATCCAAGGTGGATGATGTTTGTCAGTTTAATTTAGATCAACCACTAATTAAACACAGTGATAAGGATGGGCTCATTAGTGTGAATTTTGATCCTCAGGTAGAGTATATATTTATTTATTTATTTATTTATTTTTTGCTATATCAATTAAGCTATGTAATTACTGGGGAAATGTTTGTTTAAGAAATTTAGTAGATGACCCTTTTGTAATAGTAGCATCTTTTACTGCAAACAAAGGTATTGAGCTTAAAGCTCTGCATGGCTTGGGGGCAGCATACCTTAATGACCAGCTTCTTTCATATGATCCTACCATATTCAGAGGCCCTGCTTTGATTGCCCCTGCCACTGGAGGCCAGACAGCTGGCAACCCAAGGAAGGATCTTTTTGGTCATGGCACGAACATTTTGGAACTCCTTCCCCAGGGAGATTTATCTGTCTCCCTCTATTGTCTTCCACCAGCAGACAATATTGGTATGGTATATCCCCAATAACTGTTTGGTGTTATGTGTGTTTATATATTTTTATTGAATTCCCCTTTTTATTACACACACACACACACACACACACTTTGTTTTCATGTTGAAATGTTCTGATGTTTCACTGACTTGGGGACCCTATTTGGATGGAAAGTTGGCATAGAAATGTTTTAAATAAATGAATATACCCCATTTGGGGAAATAAAGTTTCAAGAATGAGAAAATACTTCTGTTGAAAGGTTTTTAAAACAAATAAAAAAGTGAGGCCAAGAGAAGTAATTTAACCAAATGGAGCGTAAAGCACAGCTGAAAGCTGGGCTACAGACACAACCCCCCCCCCCATTAATTTATCTCATGAACTCTAATATCATCCTCAAGGGGAAAAAGTCCATTTTTAAAATCTTTCCTTCTGCCTGGTTGTAAATTGCCCAGTGTCACCCAATAATTTATTCAATCTGTTATTTTTATTTATTTATTTATTCATTCAGTTTATACCCCACCCTCCCTGCCAAAGCAGGCTCAAGGCAGCTTACATAAGAAGTCAAAACACATAAAATAACAATGATAAAACAGTCATAAAAATCTGAGCTATTATAAAGTGCTCTTTCCAAGGAACTCAGGACATTGTACGTAATTCTTCAATTTCCATCTTCTCAGCCACTTTGTGAGGTTGGCTAAACTGAGGAAGAGAGAGCCTGGCCTAAGGTCACCTACGAAATTTCGTGGGTCACCATGAATTTGAATTTGGGTCTCCTGAGTCCTAGTTTGACATACCACACACTGTATTACCCACTGCCTCCAGATTAAAGAGGTGGGATTCCAGTTTAAAAAAAAGAGTTGCCAGGGCTATAGTCAGAGTGGGGCCAATGAGTGCAGCATCCCACACTGAGACACTGGTTTGCTGCATAATAATATAGTTTTAATTTGTAACATGACCCCTGCCATTAAAAAACAAAAGCTTGTTTGTGGAGTCGAAAATATATTTGGTAAAAAAATATCAAAATTGGTGGCAGCTACTGTCTTGTAAAATGGTAGTACTCTCCAAGTTCTACCCAGTTCTGCTTATTCAAGTTTTCTCCTGGCTCAAGGTAGATTTATCAAGAGAAGTATCACCCTTAACAAATTTTTCATCCAGAAAATAACTCCTTTTAGCTATCACAACTTTAGCCTTGGAAGGATGCTCAAAGTGGGCAAGACTTATCTTATGAATGGTATTTCTTGAAGGAAGGTTTTATTTATAAAGTAGGTAAAAACTGCTGAACTTCAGAAAGTTTCTGGTTGAATTCAGCATATATTTCTGACACTAGTAATTCATAAATATTAAAAAAGTATGGACTCTCAGACTAGGGGACTGGAGTACGGAAGCCGATTATGATGAATCATATATTTACCATTAATTTCTTCTAAAGCCCCACCTGGAAATATGGTAATCTCCATCTAGCAAAGAAGGCTGGCTACAGCCCTGAGGGCATCTGCTTTGAATCAGCAACTAGCCATTACCTTGATAGCCAGTCTGTATCATCATCCCTCCTGTGCCTTATCAGCTTTCAGGATACTGTGGAACCCTCAGTCTTCCTCCATAACAACAGGTGGGGTGAACTCTGTGGACCTTTTTTGTGCTACATCCTTTGCTGTAGCTTCAGGTCCTACCTGCTATCTTGTAAGCAACCCTCTTTCCCAGTGACATGATTTTAACAGTTCCCATTACCTCAAGATGTCAGTTTAGGATGCTGTATACCCTATTAAAGGAGTCACTACTGATTAAATGTTAAAATTTACTCTGCCTTCATGCAAGTAGTTGAAATGGAGTATGGCAGCAACCATATGACATTACATAAGCCTGTCAAGGTGTTATTACAGGCGGATAGTATATTTAGGACTAGAATATACACTTATTTTTTGTCCAAGCTGCCACTGGTCTTTGAAAATCCCATAGTATAAGATTATATATGCTAATCTTTTCAGATTGTTCTGGTATAGAGATTTCTACTGTCATGCTGGGAGCTGTACAAATTCTTTTTTAGCCAATACAATGTGTATTTCTTTCCTCAAGGACGAAGTGGAGCTGGAAAACTGGAACGGTCTGGCACTTAAAATTAAATTGCATGCCAAGGTATTTTGTAAATGGTAATAGAAATAATATCATACTTTGTTTCTTGTAGCTGGTGGCTGTTTTAAGAGATGTCAAATACCTCTTGCTTTTGGGTCAGCCTGATATTCCAAGGTCTGCATTAGAAATGTATAAGAAAAGAAGAACTTTTGACATGGTATGTGCTTTTAGCAATCTACATTCATTTTGGCTGAGCGAGTATAGTTCTGCATATCACACTGAGTATTTTTCCCTTCCCACAATCTAAAATAAATGGAGATGCCCTATCCTTCAATCCAAAAAATGCTGTTAGCATGTTAAGATCTAAAGCAGGTTTTCTTTCCTGTCCATGGACTGTGGGAGTATCCTATAGAGACCTATGGCTTGGTTGATGGCTTTGAAGGCCTCAGAACTGCTGTTCTGCCTCTTCCCATCTTTTCCTCCCACCACTACTAATTCTCTGCAGTGTCTTGTGTGTATCTACATGGCCAGCAGCAGTTCTAGTCCTGTTTTATTTCCTAATAATGTGGTACATGTTAGGGGCTCATGAGAAGACGTGGGGAATAAACAATCAAGAAATTTCTACTAGCCAAAATCTTCGCAAGAATACCCATAAGTTCTTAGCAGGCCAATTTCCCCATCACCTGTTTGCCTATTTTTACCTTTTCACAGATACTCGACTGCCCTCAGAATCTAATGCCTACTAGGTCATGATCCATCCTCATCAGGCTGATTTTGGGGGTGGGGTGGGGTTTCTACTAACTTGCAAAAGAATCTTTTCCTGCATACTTGGGAGTCCTCAGAACATACAGAAATTTCTTTTCTGTTTGTGGATGAGCCCTTTTGCTTTCCTGGTGGTAGGCACTCAGTCTTCATTTGCTATTGGATTGGTGTAATATGTACAATATGAAAACACAAGGGGGACATGCAAGGAATTTTAGGGAAGGGAATATTCTGTTTCCTCCCTCCACCATCTTTGTTGTCATCATCACCTTTCACCTCCCTACTCTCCATGCTGTACCACTTTCCTTCCCCCACTGGCTGGCCTACATGCCTCCTTCTACCCCAACCCACCTGGGTTTCCCCATTCATCTCACCTGCATGTTCACCACCTCTTTTCTCCCACCCATTCCCTCACCTGCCTTTGTCAGCCTCCCTATTCATGCCTGTTTACTCACTCACTTTTCACCTCCACTGGTGTACTCACACAGTACATATCAGGCAAGCATTCAGTGGACATGCAAGCCTAAAGAGGCTTCCTTTCCTCAGATGGCCACCACCATAATGTTTTCACATATTTCACCCCTAGTTGCTTTCACCCCAAATTTCAGGGTGGTGGGTTTTTTTTGTTTTTTTGTTTGCAATTTCTGCACAGATATCACTGTTAACTTTGTGAGTAGGGAGTTAAAACCAAAACGTTTTTGCAAACCTACAGATTCCCCTGGGTTTGGATAACCCTATATAGTAGCTGTGGTCAGCCCCATTGTGAGGAGTTGCCTATATATATGGGGATGAGCCCCTTGCTGTTAGATATAAGAATAGGCCCTGTATGTGTGTATGTGGGTGCTTCCATGTTTGTTTTATACACTTCAGCTTTATTTCTTAGTAGTTCATGTGCAGTGTTAATAGGAAACATGGTGAGTGGGCCAAAAACACAGGTGGCCACTGGCAGTGGCAGATATGTAAGAATGGTGCAGGTGACCTTTCACCAGTTAAAATGATAACCTTCACAAGGAGCAAACTATTTATTTATTATTTATTAATTTTGATTTATATCCTGCCTTGCCAGCACATGCAGGCTCAAGGCGGCATACAACAGTTAAAATACAATAAAACACAGATGCGAAAGTGCAATACTATAAATTAGTATAAAATTTCACAAACAACGATATATATAAAAGTGCAGTTAAGTGCAGTTGGCAATTGCTGTACGATGATCCCAGGTGACTAAGCCGATATCCGAGTTGTTCTTAATGCCGTTAACGTGAGTGCCACAACAGTTCAGTTTTTAGTAGCTCAATCATCAGTGGCAGCTCCTAATTGAAGACTTGGTGGAAGAGCTCCTTTTTACCGGCCCTGTGGAACTGTAAAAGGTCCCACAGGGCCCTGATGTCTTCCGGGAGCTCATTCCACCAGTGTGGAGCCACCACTGAGAAGGCCCTAGTTATGGTGATGGCCAATCTGGTGTCTTTCGGACCAGGGAGAGTCAAGCAATTTTGCGACCCTAACCTCAGTGCTTTCTGGGGGACATAGATTGTTTCTATGTAGTTTTTATGGCAGGTTTCAACATTCAGTGTTTTTTCTGTACAAACAGCACATTGGAGTCCTTGAGCTTGTAGTACAGTGGTATAACAAGATTAAACAGACAGTTTTGGAAGTAGAATACCCTCTGATTGAAACAGAACTGAGAACAATTGATGATCTGCTAGTGGAAGCTGAAAGAACATTCACATGGCTAGAGGAGAACTGCTGGGAGTACATTGAATATGTGAAAGCCACCGTTTATGACTTGGAGGAAAGACTTCAAAGGTCAAAGGACAATATTAAAGCCATTCAACAAATTATGAAGGGTTGGATGGAGCAGCTGATCTTTTATAGAAAAGAAAATAAGAAGGAAACTTTGTTGAACCTGGAAGACAAAGAAGATAGGCTTTCTAAGAAATTCATGTCACTTCAAGAAGACGGCCATAAGATCCATACACTTGCACAGGTAATTTATGGAACCACATCCTCTGTTGTTAGTTATGCTCCTTAGCTGTCATCTTTCTTGTGGTGACTTCTCTTAGGACTGCCCGGACAGCAACAGCTAGGTCACAGACATTCTCTGTGGTACGTCCAGTCCTCTGGATATTTTGGTGCTCATTTTGTCTGCATTAATGTACATACAATTCCCAATAAAGATCTGATTGTCAACTATTTGTTTAACCAGTTAAAATATTTCTACTGCAAGTTGTCACAATAGTAGACTGTATAATTAATGTATCTGTTTTTGTTTTCAGGAAAACTTAATGCTTTTAAAAGCAGACCCAGATTCAGATTCCTGGAAGATTTATTTGGAATTCATTGATGACATTATAGTTGATGGTTTTTATAATGTCATAATGCACAATTTAAACTTCTTCTTGGAAAACACAGAGCCAAGCTTGAAGACACTTCCATTATTCCAGGTTCAGGTGACCCTAAGTGCTCCAGATATTGCATTTACACCTTCATTGAACAAAGAAGCTGGAGATGGCTTTTATGATCTAATAGATGAACTTTTAAGCAGTATATTCAAAATGTCTGGCCAGGTGAAAAGAGTATCCACACATCTAGGAATGCAGCATTATCAGGTACTGTAGTATTTCTAAACACTGAAATGTCTAAGTTAGAAAGAGAAGCCAAATGCAAAGATCCAGTGATTAAAAATGTATGTGATCATAAGAACATAAGAGCCCTGCTGGATCAGACCAGTAGTCCATCTAGTCTCACACCGTGGCCAGCCAGTTCCTCTGGATGGCCAGCAACAGGGCATAGAGGCCGAGGCCTTCCCCTGATGTTGCCTCCTGGCTCTGGGATTCACAGGATTAGTGCCTCTGGATGTGGAGGTTCCCCTCAGTCACCAAGGCTAGTAGCCATTGATAGACTTATCCTCAATGAATCTATCTAATCCCCTTATAAAGCTGTTTATTCCTGTGATCATCACTACATCCTCGGCAACGAAGTCTACATTTTAATCACTCTCTGTGTAAAGTAGTATTTCCTTTTGTTGATCCTGAACCTACTGCTTATCAGCTTCATTGGATGCCCTCAAGTTCTGGTATTTTGGGAGGGGGAGAAAAATTTCTCTTTGTAACTCTCTCCACCCCATGCATAATTTTATAAAACTCTGTCATGTCCCCCCTTAGTTTTCTTCTTCTTCTAAACTGGAAAGTCTCAGACTCTTCAGCCTTTCCTCATAGGGAAGATGCTCCAACCCCCTAATCATCTTGGTTGCCCTCCTCTGTACTTCTTCCAGCTCTGCAATGTCCTTTTCAAGATATGGGGACCAGAACTGTAAGCAGTATTGCAAATAAGGCCCGCACCATAGATCTATACAGTGGCATTACAATATTGGCTGTTTTACACTCAGTCCCTTAGAGTTTCTTTACCTTTTTTACTGCTACCACTCAGGGTTGATACTTTCATTGAGCTATCTACTACGACCCCAAGATCTTTTTCCCTCTCAGTCTCGGCAAGTTCAGACCCCATTAGCCAATACTTGGAAGTTGGGATTTTGTTGTTCATATACAGAACAAAATAAACTTGATGTTGTACTACAAAAGTAACTCCTTTTTTTGTCTTAGAATGATATGGACAGTATGGTAGAGCTGTCTGAGACTAGGAAAGTGATTATGGGCAGAGTGGAAGATGTTATTACCAAAGCTGTGGACTTCAAAACCAGTTTTGAACCCTATGCTTATCTTTGGACAGAAGACAGATCTGAGTTTATGAAACAGTTTCTTTTTGATGGACATATGTCAGCTTCTGGAGAAACTGAAACTCCTGCTGATGTTGGTAAATCTGATCAACACCCAACAACTGAACAATTTAAAGAGCAGGCAAGAAAGTGGATATCTATTTATTTATATTCATAGTCCCTCTTAAATGTGAAATTAAAGAGTATATTTATAATGCATAGTTTTCTGTTACAGATTGACATCTATGAGAATCTTTATAGTCAAGTAAGCAAACTTGAAGATTTCAGAATATTTGAAGGGTGGTTTAAATTAGACCTGAAACCTTTCCTAATTTGTTTGTTAAACATCATTAAGAAATGGAGTTGGATGTTCAAAGAATACCTTTTGAGATTTGTCATTGACAGGTAAAAATTACATATTCAGACAACTGATTTATTAATTTATTCTTTTTAAAAATGATATGTTAGAGTCAGATAAAGTTCAGGGGGGGAGGGGCTAAAATGGGCTCAGAGGAATCTGTATCCCCTCCATAATTCTCTAAGCAGAAAAGGGACCGTCTCCCTTGCCCCTAAAAGGATTCCTTGTGGGGGAGGAGGTTGGCCTCAGAGGTTCTGAACCACCCAAGTACAGTTCACCACACTATATAATAATTAAGGAAAACTTATTGAGAGGTGAGGAAGAAACAAAGGAACCCTCAGTTGTTCTCTTTCTGATTCTTCTGCTCCTTGCCCCTATTCCTCTGTAAGTACAGTATAACCATACTGGTTTTAAAATCAAAATTATAGTCTAAATAACAGTATTTGAAGGTCATTTTAATTTCTTATTACATATTAGCATGCAGTAGAAAAGATTCCATCATTGTAAATCCAACTTCCTTCCTTTGGTAGCCTGACAGACCTAGAAGAATTCATTAAAATGACAGATGCTGGGCTCCAAAAAGAATTAAAGGAAGGAGATTATAATGGACTGATAGATGTCATGGTTCACCTCCTGGCTGTGAGAGACAGGCAAACAACTACCAATGAGCTTTTTAAACCTCTAAAAGATACTATTATACTCTTGGAAAGCTATGGACAGAAGATGCCAGATCACATTTATGTCCTAGTAGAGGTACTGTACATTTAGGAACAAATGTTCCATGCTTCTGTCTGTCAAGACTGCTGCCTATCATTTCCAGGTGATGATAGTGAACTTCTTCTCTCTTCCTGACATCCTGAACTATCAGTGGATTATGTTTTATTTATTTTATTAGGTTTATATCCTGCCCTTTCCCAACAGTGGGCTCAGAGTGGCTCACAACAATTAGTATCTAAGTAAATAATAATACCATATAATAAAACCAAGTTAAAACAAACAATAAAACAAAATGACAGCAAAACAAGACAAAAACTCCAGGGCAAAAACTCCAAAATATTTACAGGAAATATTTTTGTATAATCCCCTGAAAATTTCTCCTGTACAAGTTCCACTGAAGTAAATGATATCTGCACAACTCTGCTTAGAATCTCATTTGTTTCTGCAGAACTTGGTTGAGAGAACTTTCTGGCAAACTATTTCTGTCTCCACTTTTTTGTTGCATTGTGTAAATGGGAGTATCCACCAAGAAAGAAAATTGAATCAAGGAGGTTCATATTTGGAGTTTTGACACAGGCTTGTCTATCCAAGATTCTAGTTAAACGATAAGAGGTTTTCTATATTTTTGTAACTATTTTCAGGTTCAGGAAACATGGGCGGGCCAGGTTGAACTGTTTCAAATGTGAGAGCAAGTGGTCCATAGAGCAGACAAAAAGTAGGATTTTCTTTTTTTGCTGAAAATTATGGGTGGGAAAACCACCAGGATCCAAAGAGTAACATAACTGTTTCCGTGCTACCATGCTATGTTTGAACTTTTCCCTTAAAATGGCAGCCCCAGAATTTTATATCTGTGGTGGGACTTTTAAAGAATGTAGTGTGGATTTATACTTTCCTCCTCCTTTCATCTGAGGAAAATAGCACTGCTAGCAAAACCATCCATCTTCTGGTGGAGTTTGAGAGACGTTCAGCTTGCTTAAAAATGATTGTGGCGGATTATTCCAGTTGTGTGGGAGCAACTTGTGGAAAAGTGGCAGCCATGTGTTTGGGGAATGTGTGGAATGTGTAAATGACACCTACCTGCAGTGTGAAGCTCTTGATAATCCATTTCCTCTGTTCTTTAGGAACTGCCTGAAAGATGGAACATGACCAAAAAACTTGCTATATCTATAAAGCATGAAGTGGCTCCTCTTCTGACTTCTGAGGTCACCCTTCTCAGAAAAAAATGTGCAGCTTTTGATGTAAGCTAAGCTGATTTTTTTTTTTTTTTTACAAAAATGCTTTTATGGGGACAAGATTGTTGACAAAATTTATTGCCTGCATTTCTTTCATCAGGGAAAGCAGATAGGATTCAGAGAAAGATTTAGAGTGGATGCTCCCTTTCATTGTGATGCCAAAAACCCATATGCGCTTCTTGATAAGGTAATGGAGAAATCTCAGAGGTGCATGTTATGCTTGAGATCTAACTACAGAACTCAGATTTCTGTTTTCATTTTGTATAATTTGTATTTGACATTATTTTTAAGTTGTATATTTATGTGCCTCTGCATCTTAAAGTGTGCATATTTTATATAGAGCAGCCTTACCATTTCAAAGACACAGTGCACGCATATTTAAAATGCATTATGGTTTTTGAAAAATAATTTTATAACATGTTCAGAATGAAATAAATTTCCCACTTTGAATGTACTACAAAGGTTAGCTGCAACTCTGATGTATTAATATCAACTTAAGCTTTCTAACTGACTTTGCTGGGATAGATTTTGCTGGGATATGGATTGCACCCTTTCACAGCTTCCTATTAAGTGATGCATTGGTGGGATTTGTTCAAGATGCTGTTTGGTGGGATGTGCTTGCTTTATTTATAACAAAATGTTGATAAGTAATTCATGGAAAGACATGAAGAATAATTCTTGCTAGAATAAAGCCTTTACAAGTATGCATTTAATTGTGCACAATGTGCATTTGATCAGATTCCTGGAGTTTGTGTATGGATATAAATGTATAAATCTGTAAGGGCAGAACTTCAGTTGATGTAAATCAGTGCTACTGCATTGAATTTGATTTACACTAGCTCAGGAACTGGCCCATAAATGTATGTGGTATGTCTTTTAGAGTATCAGAAAGGAAAATGAAACATGCAATGGTTCTTCAGTAATTCTCATAAAATATCTGTGCAATTCCTTTGTCTTCAGTATATACAATTTGGATCTTAACTAATCTTGCTTTATATTTACCGCTATGTGTATTTTAACTTCCTCAGGCAAATAGGGAGCTGGAGGCACTGGAAGAAGAAATGTCACACTTAAAGGAATCTGCCAACCTTTTTGAAGTGATAATGCCAGATTACAAGCAAATGAAACAATGTCGCAAGGAAATACAACTTCTCAAGAGAGTGTGGGATATTAACATTTATGTTACAGTAAGAATGTTATGCATTTTTGAAAGTACATTGGACAGTTGGCAGTGGCACAGAATGTTTGAGTTTTTTGGGGGGTGGGGTAGTATTTTAGTGGCTTTTGTGTCTTAAACTGTATATTTTGTTCAGTGTTTTGAAAATCGCTATGTATCAAGACTTGTGAGATTTTTTTAAAAAAGTCTCATCTCAAACTAAGCCCAGGAAATTGTCAGACGCTTGAACAAACGTGCTCCCAACAACACTCCCTTGGCAGAGATTTGTTTATTGAGAGATTAAGATGTTTCAAGCTGAGACCATTTGTGTCAGAACTCCTTTGGTGCCAGTTCTGGAATTATACATGAGTCAAACAATCACACACACCCATGACTGGTCCAATCAATCCATTCCTTCAGCCCACCTAAACCTAGCGCGCTCCATTAGTTCACCTCCCCCCATCTGTGAACCTACAATTACATTATCTATTAGAAGCTGGCTAGCGGAGATTGGCATTCAAGGTCGTTGTGCATTCTTCCTAGTGTCAGGAAGGCCCACTTGGAAAGCAGTTGTAAATTAGCGTGGCAAAGCAGTCATAAACACACACACACTCTCACACTCTGCCCCCCCCATTTCCCAAAGTGAAAGAACAAAACATCAAAGGTAATGAAAATAGAACATGTGAGATCCATGGCAAACAAGGACCCGAGTTTGACAGAAATAGTCATAAAGAATACATTGTCTTTTGAAATTGGAATGCAGGTAAAATACAATGGCAAGAATACTACTCTTGAACAAAGAAAACCTGGTGAAAATCTTATTCAGTGTATGATAGAAAAAACTCTCACCAAACTGTAAAGGGAAAAAAGGGAAGAAACCCCCACCTCGTTGAAGTGAGGGTTGGGGTGAATATAGGTAAACCACAGATTAATTACAAATGGCAGTCATACTTTACACCCTGATGTGGATGACCCAGGCTAGCCCAATCTCATCAGATCTTGGCCCTAGGATGCTGTGCTGGCTCTGGCCAGTCGCCACAAATAGACTACACTTAAGCAAGACCACCAAGAAAGCTGTGGCAAGCAGAGGCAAGCTGTACTTGGTTTGGCTAATCACCACAGATATCCTTCACTGAAAGTTGGATACGCAGTCCAAAAGCAAGCCAAGAAACAGAGCCAAAGGTCAGAAAGCCGGGAAATCAGTCAGTTTTCAGGAGCTAGGAGCGGAGGCTGACAGCCGAGACTAGGTCCGAGAATGCACGGTTGCTTCCACGCCTAGGCAGGTGAGCGGGAATGTTTATGACCAGATCCTCCCTTCCCTGGGAGTCAGCCTGCAAAGTCTCACAGCCCCTCACGTTGCCCTTGAAACAGCTGAAGTCTGGCACTCCTCCTCTCTTGACAGACAGACAACCTTTATTGGAATGTTAAAGATAAAAGTACATTATTTTTTTTTTAAAGTACATAGATCGTAAGGCCAACCAAAATGAAATAGATCAATTAATAGCTTCTCTGAATCAAATTGAAGACTGGAGAAAACAGGCGACATTAGAGGTTATGAAAATGTTGTATGCAGAAAGTAACCTCAGAACCTTGATACTGTCAGGGAGGCCACACCATGTACAGAGAAGGGTTGCTCCTTCTCTCTTGCACATTCAGACGCTGGTGTGTCCTGCGTCTGGGACAGTCAGGTGAGCTAGGTGGGGATTCTGGCCTCAGGGTGTCTCCAATTGGGGGTGCTGGGCCAGGCTCTGGATCAGTCTCTTCCTCTGACTGCACCTCAGTGTCTTTGCCTTGCTGCCCCTCCTGTGCAGCTGCTGGGGCCTCTTCTCCCTCAGATGCTGGTAAAGGTTCCTCTTCTGGGCTGACTCCAGAGGAGGCTGGGTTGCTCCATGCCTCTTCCTCATCTGAGGAATAGTCAGCCTCAGCGGAGCCAGGACCCATGACACAAGCAATCGCAACCATCTCTGTTTGTCTCTTGCTTTGAAAATGCTGTGAGAGTGTTGTAAGTTGGCTGTGACATGATGGCACTTTCCTCTATCACCACAAGCCATCTCTGTGTGTGTATATACACACACACATATAAAAGAAAGTCCCCTCACAGTAAAATCAATGCCCAGGCCAAACCCCTGGGCCTAGAAACATGAAATTTAGGAAGAGCACTCCTTCCATGACAAAAATGCTCACTAAGAAGGGATTTTTAGAAATTCAACCCCAAAGGAGGTCAAAAGGGCTAAAATGTGATCCCACTATTGTTTCCTATGTGGCTGCCAGGCTGCTGCCTCCTTGCACCTCCCACTCTCTGATTGGTCAGCTGCAGATCTCAGTGTTCTGAGGTAAAAAAATCCCAGTTACAGGAGACTGCAGAGAGCTAATGACAGTTGAGGAAATCAGGAATGGCCAATCACCTGTGAGGTGCAGCAATGCTGCGGGCCCAAACATACTCCCTCCCATCTCCTATACCTGACAGGTGCTGCCTGTCAGGTGTTGGAGAGGGGGTGGGATGCTGTGCTGTCTCTGGCCAGTCACCACAAATATAGTACACTTAAGTAAGACATCTCACCTGCACCTCCAGATGCTGGCATGTCCTGCATCTGGGAAATTCAGGTGAGCTAGGTGGCGACTTTGGCCTCGAGGTGTCTCCAACTGGGGTGCTGGGCCAGGCTCTGGTCCTCCAACTGCATCTCAGGCTCTTCACCTTGCTGCATCTCCTGCACCGATGCTGGGGCATCTTCTCCCTCAGGTGCGGGAAAGGCTCCTCTTTTGGGCTGACTCCAGAGGAGGCTGGGTTGCTCCGTGCCTCCTCCTTGTCTGAAGAATAGTCAGCCTCGGCTGAGCCAGGACCCATGACAGATGTTTACAGCCATTGGGGGAGGCTTTCTCAGCAGGATTGCCTTGGCACTGCTGTTGGCCCAGCCTCCCTGATGCCTTTAAACACACACACACCCCAATACCAGACAGGCGGATGTCTGTCAGGTGTAGGAGCAGGGCCAGGGTACTTTAATCTATCAGGGAAGATGACGAGCAGAAACACCTTAGCAGTGCTGCTGGGCCAGCCTCCCCAATGGCTTTAGACACACTCCCATCCACCCTTTCTCCACTTGACAGGTGGTTGTCTGTCAGGAGCAGGGGCAGAATATTGAAAGCCATCAGAAAGGCTGCCCAAGCAGCATTGCCCTAGCAGCCCTGCTGGCCTAGCTTCCACGATGTCTTCAGACATGCTACCCCCTCCTACACCTGACAGACATCTGCCTGTCAAGGGTTGGAAGGGGCACGGAGTCCTTAAAGCCATCGGGGAGGCTTGCTCAGCAGGATTACCTTAGCACTGTTGCTGGCCCAGGCTCCCTGATGCCTTTAAACATATTCCCCCCACTTACACCAGACAGGTGGGTGTCAGGGCCAGGGTACTTTAATCCATCAGGGAGGCTGCCCCAGCAGGATCACCTTAGCAATGTTGCTGGCCCAGCCTCCTCAATGGCTTTAGCCACACTCCCACCCACTATGAAGAAGATATATATTCCCACCATTCACTACCCAAAGGAGTCTCAGAGCAGCTTACAATTTCCCTCCCCACAACAGACACTCTGTGAGGTAAGTGCGGCTGAGAGAGTTCTCTCAAGAACTGCCCTTGAGAGAGCAGCTCTGAAAGAACTTATGACTGGCCCAAGGTCACATCAGCAGCTGCATGTGGAGGAGCGGGGAATCAAACACGGTTCTCCCAGATTATGATCCGCGCTCTTAACCACTACACCAAACTGGCTCCCCAAATTTGTAGAAAGGTGGTTTCCTGTATTAGGTTATTTAACTTCTCACAATGTGGGTTCTAAAAAATTGGTTCATGTGAGTTTGCTTATCTGATTGTTTGGATGTTTTGAATATGTAGTTATGTCCCACTTCTTAAATGTAACATAAATGAGAAGCATTTTGTAAAAAATAAAAAGGAGGGATATGCCCTGTACACACCCCCAGGCCAAACCCCTGCACCAAGAAATCCAAAATAAGTGGAGTGCATTCCTACCATGACTTGAACCCCCACTATGAAGAGATTTCTGAGAAACATGACCTCTACGCAGGTAAAAAAGGGGCAAAATGTGTTCCCCAATTGTTTTCTATGTGCCTGGTAGGCTGCTGCCCCCACCCCACCCCGATTGGTCAACTATAGCTCAGAGTTCTGAGGTAAAACCTGCCTGCTTGCACTACAATCTTCTCCATTAGAATTCCTACAACAAATGTTACATTTCAAACTTCACATCATCAGTATTATAACTGGAATTACAGAATTTAAATACTGTAGCGAAGCATGGGTATCAGGCTAGTACCTTTATATTGGTGCGAATATGTATGTCAGCTCAAGGTCAGTGCATATTTTGCCTTAATACCTGTATTTGTTTAAGTTTCATCCCCTTTTGCAGCAAACTCAAAAGCAGCCTTGGAGGGGAGATGGAAAGGAATGAAAAGGGAGGAGCAGAAGAAATATTTTAGCATTTCAGTTCTTTCAAGACTATTCTCATCCTAAACAGCTATTTGTGTTAGTAGAAATACAGTAGTGAGCCATGGAGTGAGTCAAAGCGGTCAGATATTCAGCCAGAAATCGTCAAGATTTATAAAATTTACACATTTAAAAAATCTAATTGAAAAAGTATCACCAGTATGTAAAATAAAAACCTATAGTTTGTTTTATCTCTAATATCAGTCTGTTTTCTTACAGATACTTGCCTCCATCAAATTACATTCAAATTTTTCTGTGTTCCTCCACTTTCAGAGTGCCATTAATGACTGGACCAAAAGCCATTGGAGAGAGATTAGTATGGAAGCAATGGATGTAGAGCTCAGAAGGTTTGCCAAGGCAAGTGCCAGAGCTACCCACTATAGGCCCATAGTTTAGTTTGTTTCATTGCTATCTTTTCCCCCTCCATCTAGTATCTGATATTTGCCCAAAGTATTATGTATCAGCTTTGCTTTATTTTAACCTTCACATTTTTTTGTACTGAGGTTTAGCTTTGTGTGGATAGAAATGATAAAATCATAGTGCCACTTCTTTTGAACTGATTCTGAAAAGACAAAAAGGTCATCTTTGTACAGAAATCTAGCAGACGAGAGGCACTAATGTGATGGTTTGGATTTGATTTGCTCAAAGTCAAATAGCTTAAAGTTGACATAGTCACTCATACTGAGTGTATGCATATGTGAGAATGGAAGATTTGTCTTCACTTACCATGAAGGTTCCTTCTTGGTGGTCTGGGAGTGGGTCAGTCTTCACTCTTGGGATTAGGCTCCTCCTCGAGAATAGGTTTCTTCAGATTGATCCAGGAGGGGGAGGGATCTGTCCCATGGGACCACCCCAGTCGTCTCCAAGCCATGGCTCCTCCAACATCATACTTAGGAAAGGAAAAAACATTCCTCCCAACGGTAGTGAAACTCAGCTTTCAAAACTACTGATATGGCAACTTCATGCTCCTCCAGTCTTTCTTTCTTTCTTTCTTTCTTTCTTTCTTTCTTTCTTTCTTTCTTTCTTTCTTTCTTTCTTTCTTTCTTTCTCCCCCCAGCTCCAATACCCCCTAAAAAACCTTTGGAAGCTGCCCCCCCAAACTGGGTGGGTAGGATTGCCCCCTCCCTTGGACCACCGAGAAGGAAGCTTCATGGTAAGACAAATCTTCCATTCTCTGGTAGTCCTGGGAGTGGGGCAGTCATTCTTGGGACATAAAAAAGCAGTGTGCCCCAGGGTGGTATATCTGGCTTCCAGGGTGTGTTGCAGCACTCTACAGCCAAAGGCCGCCTTGGCCAAGGCCAACTTATCTACTCGATAGTGCCTAGTAAATGTGTGTGCAAATTTCCAGGTGGCCACCTTACATACTGTCTCCAAGGATGGAAATGACCTGCACGCTGCTGACATAGCACATAGAGTTTTAATGAAGCTGATAATGGACAAAGATAAGGATGGGACATGAACAAGATGATTGAGTGTCTGGAAACAATTGTCCTGTTCATAATCTTGAAAACCATCTCATCACAGCTGTTTCTCTGAAAACATATTGGATGAATTCTGAACTTCTAATAATGCAGTCGTTTTGTTCTTATGTACTTAAAGTTGTCAGCAGTTTGAGACCCGAGTATTCCGCATGATGGAGTGAGCTCCTGTCTCTAGTTCCAGCTCCTGCCAACCTAGCAGTCTCTGCTAGTTCGGACCCCATCAATGTGTATTTATATTTAGGGTTTTTGGCTCCAATGTGCATCACTTTGTACTTGGCCACATTGAACCCCATTTACCACTTTGATGCCCATCCTCGACAGATCCCTTTGGAGTGTCTCACAATCCTCCCTGGTTCTCACCACCCTGAACAACTTCGTGTCAACTGCAAATTTAGCCACCTCACTGCTTACTCCCAACTCCAAAGAATGAATAAACAAGTTAAAAAACATCGGACTGAATACTGATCCCTGTGGTACCCCACTGCTTACCACCCTCCACTGAGAAAATTGCCCATTTATACTCATTCTCTGTTTCTTATTTATTAGCCAGTTTTTGATCCACAAGAGGGCTTGTCCTTTTATCCAGTAACTATTGAGCTTACTTAGGAGCCTTTGATGAGGAACTTTATCAAAAACTTTCTGGAAGTCAAGGTAAACAACATCTGTTGGGTCCCCCTTGTCCACATGTTTGTTCACTCCCTCGAAAAATACTAACAGGTTAGTGAGACAAGATCTTCCCTTACAGAACCCATGCTGAGTCTGCCTCAATAGTTTTTGTTCATCACTGTGCCTGCTAATTCTTTCCTTAATAATGGTTTCCACCAATTTACCCGGTGTCGACGTCAGACTGACTGGCCTGTAATTTCCCGGATCTCCTCTGGAACCCTTTTTAATGATGGGAGTGTCATTAGCTACCTTCCAGTCCTCAGAAATGGAGGTAGATTTTAAGGCAAGATTACATATTTTTGTAAGGAGATCCACAAGTTCACATTTGAGTTCTTTGAGAACTCTTGGATGTATGCCACCCGGGCCTGGTGATTTATCCGTTTTTAAGTTATCTATCAGTCGTAGGATCTGCTCTCTTGTCACCTCAATCTGACTCAAGTCTCTCAACACCACTCCCAAAATCAGTGGTTCTGGAGTGGGCAAGCACTTCTCATCTTCCACAGTGAAGACAGAGGCAAAAAATGCATTCAGCTTCTCAGCCATTTCCCTATCATCCTTCACTACTCTTTTTACCCCTTGGTCATCCAAGGGCCCCACTGTGTCCCTGGCTCGTTTCTCGCTTCTAATGTATTTGAAGAAAGTTGTATTGTTGGTCTTTGTTTTTTGCTATATGCTCCTCATATTCCCTTTTTGCCTGCCTGATCACAGACTTGCATTTTATTTGCCACAGCCTGTGTTCCCTTTTATCAACTTCACTGAGACTAGCTTTCCACCGCTTAAACGAATCCTTCTTACCTTTTACAGCTTCCATTACTTTGTTTGTTAACCATGCAGGCTTTTTTCTATACCTATATGTGCCTTTCCTAACCTGCGGTATATATTTTTTCTGAGCTTCTAGGATTGTAGTTTTAAATAGTCTCCAAGTGTCCCCAGTGGTTTTGACCCTTTCTACTTTTCCTTTCAGTTTCCTCCTCACGTGTCCCCTCATATCAGAGAAGTGACCCCTTTTAAAGTAGTGGCAGTGTCAGTCTTTTTGGGCAACTCCCTATTTATACAAATGTTGAACTCAACAACATTATGATCACTGTTCCCAAGCGGTGCAATAACTTTTTCATCTCTCACCAGGTCTTGAGTGTTACTTAGGACCAAATCAAGGATTGCCTCTCCCCTGGTAGGTTCTGTGACTATCTGTTCCATAGCACAGTCATTAAGAGTGTCTAGAAACTCAATCTCTTTTTCCCGACTTATAGCCATTCTATACTAAAAGCATTCTAAAGGTAATATTTTAAAATATATCTCCCTAAAAGACAAGCATACTTAATTCTAAAACATATTTCTTATACATTAAGATTTTCTACAGTAACACATAGAAATGCCTTATGACTAGTATTTCTTTGACACTTAATTTCAATACTAATTTCACTCAAATTTTGTCTTCTTGGATATCATTATTAATTTTAATACTAATTTCACTCAAATTTTGTCTTCTTGGATATCATTACTCATCCTTTACGCTATTACAGCAATACTGAATTATCTTAAAATCACATTAGAAGGTTTTGAGCTTTCCAAAATACTAGGTAATAACTACCTTGTAAAATGTATTTCTCTTAACATTTAGTTTTAAATTTAAAATTCTCTTAAGTTTTATATCATTAAGTCTCATTAAATTCCATTTTGAATAACATTTAACCTGCTGTAGCAGTCCACCTTAAACAACAAACATACCTAATTCTAAAACACATTTCTTAACACATTAAGATTTTCTACAATAACACATACAAATGCCTTATGACTAGTATTTCTTTGACATTTAATTTTAATACTAATTTCACTCATATTTTGTCTTCTTAGATATCATTAGCCATCCTTTACACTGTTAGAGCAATACTGAATTATCTTAAAATTACATTACAAGGTTTTGAGCTTTCCGAAATACTAAGTAGTAACTACCTTGTAATATGTATTTCTCTTAACATTTAATTTTAAATTTCAATTTCTCTTAGGTTTTATATCATTCAGTCTCATTAAATTTCATTTTGAATGATGTTGGTGGCCAAGCCAGCAAGGTGGCCAAGCCAGCAATGAGAACGGTCGCACGTTAGCTCGGCTCCTCTACCCTACCTGCTATACAACTTAAAATACTCCCCCAAAATCGTCTCAATACGAATTCTTTCAACATGGGAAGAAACCTCGCAACGAAGACAAAGAAAAATCCAGGGATTTCGCCATCAATGACGCAGTTTCTCGCTAACGACGCCAGCGGCTCTAAAGGGCGAAGGGACCCGACCGCTACACCCAAAATGGCCGCCACAAATTCACTGGAAGAAGGAGAAGAAGAATATCTCTCCCGAAGCGAGTTCTTACAAGTTATACAACGGCTCGAAGAGAACATTGCTACTCAGATACACAAAGCAATCGAACCCTTAAAAGAAGAGTTTCAAACCTTTAAAGAAACGCTCGCGGAGGTATCTCAGGCGGCGGAAACAGCTTTGGAGGGCGCCATAACTGCACAGCAAGAAATACAAGATCTTCAAAAATCTGAAGATTGGGCCAGGGCGAAAATAATGGCTCTGGAAAATAAATCCAAAGAGTGGAACCTGAAATTTCGCGGCATACCAGAGGAAGAGGAGGGTGAGTCTGAACTCAAAGTTTTTTTGGCTACGTGGCTGGCAAAAAACCTTGCTTTAGAAAATAATATCGCCCCTGTGATAGACTCTGCCTTCTGTCTCGGCTCACCTTCTAAAAAATCTGAAAAATTTCCCAGAGACATAATTGCGTCTTTCCCAGACAGCCGGACTAGATCGGCCATTCTAAAAAAATCCAGGTCTGAGGGAGGCTTACAATATAAAAACAAATCAATTATTGTCCTCCTAGACCTCTCTACCGAGACCCTACAACATAGGCGGAATATGAAAGTTATTACACAGAAACTTTTTGACAATAAATTTAGATTCCGCTGGTCTTCTCCCACGGAACTCACTGTTATACACCAGGGAAAACGCTTTACAGCCAATGACGTCGATAGCGGTTATGGTCTCCTTCAAAATCTAGGCATCCATTTTGACTACCCGAACCCACCTCCAAACACTGAATTTGCTCCCACTGACGCCGCAGCATTCCATCGATGGCTTCAAGCGCACCGAACGAAGAACTCACGATCCTAATTCATTTGCAACAGTCGAACACTGTCAATAAATCAGGTACTTT